CATCCCAAGCAGTGGCTTAAGACACTGCTCCCCAAAGCCCACCCGACACACAGGACCCTCAGGGCAGTGAAGCCACTCTGTGTGACACTATAACAATGGACACGTGCTATTACACATTTATTCAAACTCACAACATTACAAGACTCAAGTGTGAATCCTAACGTAAATTATGGACTTCCGGTGACAACGTGTCGACACGGGCTCAGTTATAACAAATGCACCACTCTGGTGTGGAATGCTGATAACGGAGGGGCTCATGTGTGTGGGAACAGGGGATACCTGGGCTACGTCTCTTCTTTCCTCTCAATTTTGGTGTGAACCTAAAATTGTTCTAAAAAATTGTCTTTAAAAACCCTAAGATTGTCCAAAGTAATAATTATAATATTGTACTATTGAATTTCTAACATATAAAGTCCACTATACATGACAGGAAGAGGAAGCAGGTGGGGAATGGAGCTACCCTGGAGCCCTGAAGCAAAGCTGCTGTATTCTACCAGAGTAACAGACAGAGACAGACACATATGCACATGCACGTGCGTACACACACACACACACACGCACACGCATGCACACGCATGCACACAAGACCATCAACAGGATGTGATAAGTCAAAGATGTAATCATTTGATCAAGCTAGTGCTTGATTAGTATTCAATACAGGAACAACACAAATGAAAAATAAGTAAAACATTACAATGGGATTTAAAAGTATAGTAAAAATTTTATAGAAATCAGGAAAGAGGAACAGGGGAACACAAAAAGACATAGTGAAAAGGCAGAGGCCTAATTCTATACTAATAATTATAATAAGATGCAAATATACCAATGCTCCAATAAAATTATGGAAATTTTCAGATTCAATGGAGAAGTAAGATCTAGTTGTTTTTGAACAAGAGACACATTATATTCAAAGAAGTTGAGACAAAATGATAGAAAAATGTAAGCAAACAGTAATCCTAAGAGAGCTGAATTAATTATATTAGTATTGGACTTAAGGAAAGAAATATTAATAGAGAAAAAATATTTTATTTAAAAGGCCAATTGCTTAGGAACACTGAAAGATAATGTACTAAACTGTTATACAAGTCTCAATAAATTTTAAAAAGACTGAAATCATAGAAAGAATTAAAATATAAATCAACGAGAGAAAAGGAGCCAGAGCCTCCCCAGATATTTAGGAATTAAACAACAGGGGCCAGTGCTCTGGCGCAGCGGGTTAAAGACCCCAGTGCCTCCAGCACCTGCATCCCATATGAGTGCTGGTTCGAGCGCTCCACTTCTAATCCAGCTCCCTGCTAACGTGCCTGGAAAGCAGCTGAGGATGGCCCAAGTGCTTGGAGCCCTGCAACCATATGGGAGACCTGGAAGAAGCTCCTGGCTCCTGGCTTCAGCCTGGCCCAGCCCTGGTTGTTGTAGCCATCTGGGGAGTGAACCAGCAGATGGAAGACCTTTCTTTCTTTCTCTCTCTCTCTCTCTGTAACTCTGCCTTTCAAATAAATAAAAATAAATCTTAAAAAAAAAAGAGAGATTAAACAACATATCTCCAGGATCAAAAAAGAAACTAAAAGAAATTTTTAAAAAAGTTTTTTTTTAATTATTTATTTATTTGAAAGGCAGAGTTACAGAGAGGCCGAGCAGAGAGAGAGAGCACGCGAGGGCTTCCATCTGCTGGTTCACTCCCTAGATGGCCACAATGGCTGGAGCTAAGCTGATTCAAAGCCAGGAGTCAGGAGTTTCTTCCAGGTTCCCCAGGCGGGCACAGGGGCCCAAGGAGATGGACCATCTTCTACTGCTTTCCCAGGCCATCAGCAGAGAGCTGGATCGGAAGTGGAGCAGCTGGGACTTGAACCGGCATCCATATGGGATGCTGGCACTGCAGGCGGAGGCTTAGCCCACTACACCACAGCACTGGCCCCCTAAATAATGTCTTGAATGAAACAAAAACACAAATAGACCACATTTTGTAGGATACAGCTACAGCAAAACTTAAGAGGACGTTTACAGAGTTAAACACAGAAAGGAAAAGAAATCTAAAATCAGTCAACTAGGCTTCCAACTCAAGTAGCTAGGAAAATCAAATCAAACCCTAAGCAAATAGAAGCAACGAAGACTAAAGTTTGGAGTGGAAATCAACAAAATAAAAACCAAGGAAACAAAAGCTAGTTTTCTGGAAAGATCTTTAAAACAAATAAACTTTAGCCAGACTGACCAAAAAAAGAGCAAACGTAAACAGCCAGAATTAGGAATGAAACAGGGCAGCGGGCACTGTGGCAGTTGATTAAGCTGCTGCTTGGGATGCCTGTGTCACGTATCAGGGTGCCTGGGATACAGTCCTGGCGACTTCGCTTCCAACCCAGCTTCCTGCCGACATACCTAGGAGGCAGCACGTGATGGCTCAGGCCCTTGGGCTCCTGCCATTCACACGGGAGACTCAGATGGAGTTTTTCCTGGTCCAGCCTGGCTGTTGTAGCCATCTGGGAGGTGAACTAGTGGATGAAAGATCTCTCTCTTCTCTGTCTCTGCCTCTTCCTGTGTCAGTGTGACTTTCAAATAAATGAATAAATAAACTTTTACAAAAAAAAAGAATGAAAGGAGGGAATGTCACTACAGACCCTACAGAAATGAAAAGAGTTAAATGCAATTACTGGCACCGTGGCTCACTTGACTAATCCTCCACCTGTGGCGCCAGCATCCCATATGGGCGCTGGGTTCTAGTCCCGGCTGCTCCTCTTCCAGTCCAGCCCTCTGCTGTGGCCCGGGAAGGCAGTGGAGGATGGTCCAAGTGCTTGGGTGCCTGTACCCGCATGGGAGACCAGAAGAAGCACCTGGCTCCTGGCTTTGGATTGGCGCGACGTGCCAGCCGTAGCGACCATTTGGGGGGTGAACCAACAGAAGGAAGACCTTTCTCTCTGTCTTTCTCTTTCTCACTGTCTAACTCTACCTGTCAAAAAGAAAAAAAAAAAGAAAAAAGAAAAAAGAAAGAAATCAATGTCTAGAAAGACACGAATAACCAAAACTGACAAGAAACAGAGAAAAAGCAATGGAAAACAATAGGAAATATAACTAGTTTAGAAACAGATTCAGTCATTAAAACACCTTGAATAAAGAAGCCGGTGTTTGGTCTAGTGGTTAAGATGCCTGTGTTCCACATCAGAGCCAGAGTTCCATTCTGGATACCAGCTCCTGCTTTAGCTTCCTGTCAGTGCAGACCCTGCGAGGCAGCAGCGAGGGCTCAAGTATCCGAGCTCCTGCCCCCACGTGGAGACCTGGATTGAGTTCCCGGCTCCTGGCTTCGGCCCCAGCCACTGTAAGCTTTTGGGGAGTGAATCAGTGAGTGGGGCTTCTCACTCCGTGTGTTTCTGATTCTCTCTCTGTCTCTTAAATAAATAAATTTAAAATACTACGAAAAAGCCTCAGGTGTACAATTCTTCGTACTCTTTTGGTTGAAACAATGGTTCTGGTAGGCCTGGGAGTTCATTATCATCTGAAAACTATTTGAAAATGCAGCCAGTACAGCACTGTGGTATACTCACAATTCTAGAAACAAATGCTATGGAAAGCCTCATTCGCTACCTGTCACGCCTAGACTCTTCAGATAAATTGTCTATTGCAGTTCATTGCGTGTGAAGTATGGAATTCTGTGCTTATGTATATAATTAATATCAAAAAGATGTTTACAAGGGAAGAAGGGGTTTCCTGGTGGTTCAAAATCTCATAAAAGGAAATGGAAAATATCTCTAGTCAAATCCATCCTTCTGCAAAGAGCTTCCACTGGAAGGCCATCTGCAACAAGTCTCATTGAGAGGCTTAATAGCCGAATCCAGCTCTCCTGATAATCTGATACGGGAAAGGGAAAAATAAGTAACTAAAACTGGAGGCAGGTCTCCCTATACTTTCATCCTTGGACGTGCACTACCCAATGCCCCAGGCAGCACAGTTTTCTGTAAGCTGGTAGGTATGTGGGCCACGCCTATCATTAACTGATGACGCTTCCTGACTTCGGCGAGTTGGCAGGAGGAGGTAAGGTCACGCAGGGCTGGGCCGGGTCTTGCTCTGTTAGGGCACTATTAGAAGTAAGCAGGGAAATAGCATGGTTTGTATGAAAACACAGATCAACCCTGGCTACCACGTGAAGGTCGGATCAGCAGCAGGGGTGGCACAGGCTCCACGTGACAGGGCTTGGACGACAGTGCCCACGACATGGCTGAACAAGCTGCGTGCACTCTGCTGTATCTCCCAGCAGCCTCCTGAGGCAGACACTATTATCTTCATTTTACAGCAGCCAAGGTGGCTCACGGTCACACAGCTTAGGAGAGGCCTCACTAGAACTCAGAACCAAGCAATATGGCAGAAGAGCCAGCTGCTCCAGCTGGAGCAGTAAGATGGTGATAAGAGGCTGACGCAGACCAATTTGTCAGTCACAGCTGCCAAGACTTCTAATGGATTAGTTATAGAGATAAAGGAGATGAGCAACTAAGGGAATTTGGTAGTATAATTCTATCCAGAGAGGATATAAAATACGAGAAAAAGCTGTTCCAGCACCCAAACTGGGGTACTGCAACACTTAAAAACTGAACAGAGAAGGAGGAGCCAGCAAAACACCCAGCACCCGGGAGGAAGCAGAGAGTACAAAAGCCAAGACATGAAGTCTTGCAAGGAGGAGGGAGAGGCACAGTGGAGCACACCGCTGGGACAGCACAGATGAGGCCACAGAAGACACATGGGCTCTGCAGACCGGAGGCTTCTAGGGAAGCTGAGAGAAGCAGGTTCCCCTAATTTACTCTTACTGCCACACTCACCTTGTTGTCTGTTTCACCTCTCGGCAGTGACCTTGGCTTAAATGCTACATCCCTACTTTCTCATTACAACACTTGCAGATGTGAAAATTACATGAATGTGATATAACAGCATGCAAAGGCTAAATTAATTCAAAGGTTTTCTGGTCTTATGACAGGGTCAAGATTTCAGTATGATGCACACACAGCCTTCTATTTCCATACCGTGAGAGATCCATTCTGTGTGCTGGGTGAGTTGCTACTCTGCTCCCCGTGGGCTTGCGTACTTCCATAGAGGGTCAGGTTATGCTCACTGGTCTGTCCGGCATAGTCCTGAGTGTGTGGCACTCCGTATTCTGTGGGAATTCCATTCTGTGGAGGTGGTGGAAATGGGATGGTGGTAAAAGGCTGAACCATCGCGTCAGGAGTTGTTGTTGGCTCCTGGTTACCCTAAAACAAGTAATGAGAGAGGAAAATAAGAGAAAGGGACTTTAAATCCTTGCTATATAATTACTTCTAAGAGAGGTACACAGAATTCTCTTAACATTCTCCCACTGTACATGTGTAACACAACATGTATGGTCCCCAAGTTGGGGAAAATATTGTTATATATACACGTAAGTATGCAGTCACACAAACCCACATGCACACTCTAAATTATGCCATTCTGTGGTCACTAGACAGATCCATAACAAAGCGAAGGTGATGCCAATGGGTTAAACACAATCCATTAAACCAAGTTTTTTAAAATGCCTGGAAATTTCCCACATAAGATAAGCTGTAAGAGCTGAAATTAGGGGCTGCCATTGTGGCATAACGGGTTAAGCAGCTGCCTCCAATGCTGGCATCCCATATCCATGCTGGTTTGAGTCCCGGCTGTTCCACTTCCAATCCAGCTCCTTGCTATTGGACCCAGGAAAGCAGTGGAGGATGGCCCAAATACTTGGGTCCCTGCACCGCTGTGGGAGATCAGGAAGAAGAATCTTCTGGTTCCTGGCTTCAGCCTGGCCCAGCCCTGGTGGCCATTTAGGGAGTGAACCAGAAGATGGAACTCCCTCTCTATCTGTAACTCTTTCATATAAATAAATCTTCAAAAAAAGGAGTGAAATTAATTGGGCAACTAGTATCATCTTCAGGCACTGTGTTCATTCTTTACGACTTTTCCTAAGAGGACATCAAGGGGACACAAGTCAGTCTCCTTGGAGCCGGGGATGCACAGCAGCTGGCAGAGCGAGCCCAGACAACGCAGACCTCCAGACCTCCAGAGCGCCAACTTCAGAAAAAGGAGGATTACTTAAAAAGTAGTATTTGGATATCAAGGTACAGGTTTACTTAAGTCTTGGCTACTAGGTTAGTGATTTAAAAACATTGTCCCTTAATTCAAAATATTAAAAATAGACAAAAACTCCCCCCAAAGCATTTGGAAGTGTTTGCCATCATTATCACCAGGGTCAGTGATGAGGCTGGCGACACAACAGGATGCCTCTCCACACAAGTGGGGCCCAGAAAGGCATCTGCAATACCACACCAGGGCAGGCAGGGACACAGACAGGGACTGTCAGGGGCTCCGGGGCTCGCGCTCACTCCTGTTCTGTCTTCAGAAACGAAAGAGGGGCTCAGTCCTCACCACCCTCCATCCCCAACAGCTGACCTTCTGATTTCTCATTTTATTTCACAAAAAGAAGAGCCATGACTTTACTGAAGACACACAATCAGCAAAGTCTTGGCACGTTTTTCTTTCTGAAACAGTTGGCAGAAAAGTCCCCAGACTTCAAAATGTTCACACTTAGAAAGCTCCTCTTGCCCACGGCTCAGCACCCAAGTCAGCCTCAGAGATCAAGGGAAACCCGGGTGCACGGCACTCAGCTTCTCGTGGCCATGAGCATCCTTCCCTCGAACAGGGACTCAGTATCCCCTTTTCTCTCCCAGTCCTCATCACAGAGGAGGTTCTCTGCCCTCTAAGAGCGCAGGAACCTGACCGTCGGGAGCGTTTCCTGAATCTCAGCCCAGGCTCCCACACTAACATGCTCTCAAACAACACCAGTCCAGAGGGTCTCATGCTGGTTTGTTTTGTTAAGGACGGTTCAACCATCATTACTAGAATGTCACTCTGCATGAAATGAAACAAAATCTACAAAGACTGCTACAAAGAAAGGAATATATGATCACCAATTAGAAAACTCAATATTCTTCAGATGACCATGCACCTCAAACCCCACAAACCCAATCCAAATCTCAGCAGGTGTTTTTTGCCCAGAGAAGTTGTTACTAAAATTCATATAGAAATGCAATGGAGCTAGAACAGTCAAAACAATTTTTTAAAGATTTATTTATTTGAAAAGCAGAGTTACAGAGAGGAAGAGAGATCCTCCATCCACTGCTTCACTCCCCAGTTGGTCACAATGGTTAGAGCTGGGCCGATCCGAAGCCAGGAACCAGAAGCTTCTTCCGGGTCTCCCATGTGGGTGTAGGGGCCCAAGGACTTGGGCCATCTTCCACTGCTTTCCCAGGCCTTAGCAGAGAGCTAGATCGGAAGTGGAGCAGCCGGGTCTCATACCGGGGCCCATATGGGATGCCGGTACTGCAGGTGGCGGCTTTCCCTGCTATGCCACAGCGCTGGCACTGGCCCCAGTCAAAACAATTTTGAAAATGAAGAACAAAAATTGGAGGACTTGAAACTACATGATTTCGAGACATACAGTAAAGCTACTATAATCATGACAGGTTGTGATCTAGTCACAAAATGGAATGCTACTTAGAACAGCGACAATTAAAGATCTCCTGGAACATACAACAATGTGAATGAAACTTCAAAACTGTGTTGCATGTAACACCAACCGATAGAATAAATAAAGGGGAGAGTGATCCAACATGGGAAGTGAGATACTCAGCAGACTCATAGAATGGCGGATGTCCTAAATAGCACTCTGGCCTCAGAATCAGCCCTAAAGGCACTCGGATCTGGCTGAAAAGCCCATGAGAGTATTTCAGGCATGGAAAGCCAAGACACTCTGGCAAAAAGATCTCTGTGAGTGAGATCCCAGTGGAAAGAACAGGTCTTCAAAGAGGGAGGTGCCTTTCTCTGAAGGGAGGAGAGAACCTCCACTTTGACTATGACCGTGTCTAAACAAGATAAGAGTCGGAGAACTCAAGGGGCTTCCATAGCCTTGGAAACTCATAACTGGTGCATAGGGAGATTACTGATGCCATAAACAGGAGTGTCAATTGGTAAAGTCAACAACAGGAGTCACTGTGCACTTACTCCTCATGTAGGATCTCTGTCCTTAACGTGCTGTACACTGAGGCTTAATGCTATAACGAGTACTCAAACAGTATATTTCACTTTGTGTTTCTATGGGGGTGCAAACGACTGAAATCTTTACTTAATGTACACTAAACTGATCTTCTGTAAAAAAAAAAAAAAAAAAAGGAAAGAAATTATCAATTCCCAACTTGACTCTCACTGGGATTAAACATGACAATAGGTCTGATCTGATTTCATCATCATTTAAAAAAAAATCATCTATAATTTTTCACTTTATGTTTCTGTGTGGGAGCAAACTGTTGAAATACTTACTTAAGGTATACTAAGCTGATCTTCTGTATATTAAGATAATCGAAAATGAATCTTGATGTGAATGGAAGGGGAGAGGGAGTGGGAAAGGGGAGGGTTGTGGGTGGGAGGGACGGTATGGGGGGGAAGCCATTGTAACACATGAGTCGTACTTTGGAAATTTATATTCATTAAATAAAAGATTAAAAAAAAAAAAAAACTGTGTTGCATGGAAAAATCCAGACAAAAATTCACACTACGTAATTCCATGTATATGAAGTAGAAAAGAAAAACTAATCTGTGGGCCCCAAAATAAGACAGTATTTATCCGCCTCTGTTCCAGGAGGAGATGGGGAAATCGGGTACCTACAACAGTCTGTGCGGATGCAAATCTTACCTATCTGTTATTTGTGGTGAACTACACTCTAACTCTCATTAAACTAAACATTTTGCCATTGTTGTTTCATGCTAATTAGACCAAAAGAAAGACAATAAAAAGCCACCTGTCAACATCATAGCTTTAAGAAAAAAAAAATCATAGCGAACTGTGAAATACTAACATTACTGTTATTGATAAAAGACAACTGTACCCATCACTATTACCTTATTCTACAAGTGGTGAGACAAAAAATGGAAATGGTAATAAAAACCATAAAAAGAGACCACTTATCCTTACAATATGATTATATATTAAGAAAATAAAAAATAATTAACTAATAAAACTTGTAAAATTTATATGCCACTATTTAAAAATTAGTAATAACCAGTTATTCAGAATTGTGACAAACTTTTTATTATTAAATGAAACAAAGAGAAAACAAAACCCAAATAAGGAAAAAGTTCTATTTTGGTTTTGGATGTTAAAAACATTCATCCTCTCATAATCAAAGGTAGACTAAGGTATATGTAATGTCATCTCCACTCAGAACAAATGATGTCTGATAAAGGAAACAGGACTAACTACTTTACTAAAAAGTAGAGTTAATACAGGGAAAAACTATCAAGAAAGCTTAAAAAAGGGAAAGCCTAAGATGTGGGGCATGTTCTGCCATCCAGGAAAACTCATCATAAGACTGCTGAACTTAAACAGCAAGAACACACAAAATGATCAATGGCACACTGGTAACCCTAAAAGAGCTTCAAGTTTATCTGGAAGCTTAAGGTGCCATTCCAGTTCAGGAGGATGACCCTATGGTACCTGCAGAAGTCTTGGCTGTCTACCATCTAAAGATAAAACTCACCCCTCAGTTCAGACCCATACCAAGAACACTCAAAGAATAATACCCAATATAACAACTAAGACTATGAAAATCAAGAAAATTTGGGAGTATAATTGCCATAAGGAAAATTCTTATGATAGTAAACCTAAAAGCCAGGAAGAAAAAAAAAAAAAAAAGCTGGATTTGGCTGTATTAGTTAGGCAGGAAAGAAAAGGGGGAGGGAAGAGGACAGGAGAGAAATGGACTTTAAAAGTCAAAAGAAAAATAAACTAGGAGACAATAGTAGCAACAGGTAAGACAGACACTGCCTTACCATCACTAGTCCAAGAGGGGCTGCACAGATCGGTAAGACACATGCACACCCGTCCAATATACACACCAACAGAAAGAGGTGACGATTGTAACTCAGCAACTCATGGCAGATAAAATACAAATGGCTAACAGAACAAAATGCTGAGCCTCATTCAGTAACAGTCATGGAAATACATATTAACACTAAAATCAATCCAAGATTTTAGTCATCAAACCACAAAATTTCGAAGTTTTATTAAGGTATTAACTGTTATAAATAACACCTATTTACCTGTAGTGTACAACCCACTAAGTCCTGGCACATATACAAATTCCCTGTCTATGATCAAGACAGTGAGCACGCCCACTGAAACCTCCAAGCTTCC